GGATATTACATCATTTCATTTGAATAGTGGAAGGGGACAAAAGAAAGAGCTCATAGGATATAAGCCTACTTGTAGAAAAGTGTTGAGTGTGTTCAGTATTATACAAAACCTCAACAGCATGAAGTACTTCTAAAATTAAGCAACTTCTTTGGACTATATCTGAAGAGGCCTCTACTATTTTAGCAGCCACAGCTACAGACTTTAAATAAGGGAGATAATCTCTGGCCACAGGGTCTAGTTGAAGGGTATAATTAGCAACAGGCTTATGATGGGACCTGTGTTTCTGCATAAGGACCCCTAGAGCCTGGTTCTGTTTTTCATGTACAAATAAGCAGAAAAGTAGAGAATAGTTAGGCAAGCCTGGAGCTGGAAGACTCTGTAGAGCCCTTTTAATTTCTCCAAAAGCCTTTGCATGAGTCTTTTCCCAGTGTATTGGTTCAGGCACAGAAGCTTTTGTTAGCTCAAACAATGGAGCAACTATCTTTGAAATGTTTAGAATCCAAGCTCCACAGAATCTTGCTAGGCCTAGAAACCCATGGAGTTGTCTCTGGGTTTGAGGTCAGGAATAAGATTGAACAGTCTGAAGTCTCTTAGGGGACAGAGAGATTAGCCCTGCTGATAAATCATGCCCAAGATAATGAAACTTTGAAGGACAAATTGCAGTTTATCTTTAAAGCTTAATGTCCCTTATAGGCAAGCTGTTGTAATAAGTAAACTGAGAGTCAATTTTTGACTAAGTTTGATCTGAGGAGCATAGAAAAGGTCATCAACATATTGTATAAGGGTAGATTTATTCTGAAAATTCAATTTTTTTTCCAGAGCTTTAAAATTATTGTGAAGGGCCTGAGAAGTATAAGTAGGAGATTCAAAAAATCCCTGAGGCATTACTGTCCAAGTATACTGATTTTTCCAAGTAAAGGTAAATAAATACTGGCTTTCCATATCTACCAGAATACCAAAGAAAGCTGCACACAAATCTACCAGGAAACATTTTGAGTCCTTAGCAATTTGTGAAAGCAAAGTATTAGAATTTGGGACAAGAAATATAGGAATAGCAATCTTATTAATAGCTCTTAGGTCCTAGACAAACCGATATTCTCTACTGTTAGGTTTTTTAACCAGAAGGACAGGGATGTTACACAGACTAGTGCAAGGGACAGTGAGACTTTGATTAATTAGATTATCAGTTATTGGAATTAGGCCCTATATGTTTTTGGCCTTGAGAAGGTATTGAGGCGGGCACAGTAAGGGTTTATTAGGGTCTACGTGGATCTTAATGGGCTTAGTACTTTTAATCCTTCCCACATCAGGGGAGAAAGCTGCCCATAGACAGGTATTTCAGTTAGATCATCAACAGATTCTGCCTCTGGTTCATTAGGGTAGTCTGTTGAACTTGTAGCCTGTATAGTGTCTTGACATTATGATGTCCAGTTATCTCCAGAATCACCCTTGGTGTATGTTTTATATTACAGTTCATTTTAGCCAACCAGTTTCTACCCCTGAGGTAAGCAGGGGTAGTTTCACATAGCACAAATGCATGATCTTTAGTTAAAGATCCTGTGGTTGTTAATGGCAAGGAGAGAGGTACTTTTTATTTTGGTTGGAAGTAACCTACCACAGACATATCGTTTCTCTGAGAAGGGATTGGAAACATGTGGCAGGATTTATGGTGGAGACAGTAGTCCTGGTATCTATTAAAAACATGTATTATCAAGTAAGTTCTCCTTGAGAGGTTAATGATAGCAAGGGAAAGAGTTGACCAGGGTTTTCCTTGGAGTCCTGTCAGCATGAAGCTTTAGGTGGTGATAATTTTTCCAGTTTTTTTTTTTTTAAATCGGAAAACATCTTTGCTAGGAGATAGAAATTGAGATCCTTTGAAAGGAGGTTTCTTGTGGGGGTGCTAGAGCTGTTGTACCTGGAGGTCCATGAGTTTGTTAGCAGTCTGGACCTGTCGTTGCTCCAGAGCTCTTTCAAAGTGTCTGCCAGATGTTGGAATTCTGCTGTTGGGGTAACTTCCAATTCTAGTTTATGTCTTTTTAATAGGTCCCCAATCTCAGGGCAGAATCCATTTACAAAATGGAACAACAACACGTTTTGCTCTTCCTGTGGCTTAAGTCCTGACTGTTGACCAAACGTCTCTTCTAGTCGGGCCCTAAAGTCTGCTGTGGTTTCATCTTTCTTCTCTTTGCATGCTTAGGTAATCATCTAATCAATTTTGGCTGGAAAAGTGGAAGTGATAGCTTTTAATAAAACCTGACCCACTTTTCAAGCTCTCTTAATACCGTCTTTGGTAGTGTGGCAGGCTAGGTCTTTAAGATCTTCATCTGAAGTTTCCCAATTTGCTTTTTCTAACAACGTTTTGGATTCTCCAGGCCCCACTGACATATGAATAAGTTGATATAAGTTAGGAGCCCAGGATATATGCTGCCAGCAGTGTTCTTAACTCCTCTTGAAACTTAGTTTGATCATATTTGGGGGTCAGGGAAGTCCTTAACTATGGCTCGGAGTTCTACTTGTGGCCAAGGTGTGAAAAATACAGAAGTGAGTACCCCGGGTTCAGAGGATGGTTTAATTTTTAAAAGAAATTGAGCCTTATAGTTCTCAAGAAGAAGAGTTAGAGGAAAAGGAAGAGAGTAAAATGAGTCTGAAGGAGCAGATGACTTGGAGATAGAAGATGAAGGTAAAGTTGGTTTAAAGAGGGGCTGACGATCATGGCATATCTGACTCTGGAGCAATGGAAAGGGAGAACCATGAAAGTTTTTTCCTTCGCACACTATAAAGAGTTTTTCAGAGAAGCAATTTGGGAATCATTTTGTCATTTGGAAGCTTTGCTATACCAGTCAAAGAAAGCACTCCACATTATTTGTTGAATATGAGTTCCCTTTTCCGCGAACATGTCTCTCAAATGGATGATTTTGTCCGTGCTAAAAGTTTCCCAAAGCAGCCACTGCCCTTAAGGCATCTCTGGTAAAATCAACCCATTTTTCCAAATTACTAAAAGTACTGGGTCTGTAATGCATGAACATGTAAGCTGTGGGAGTTTTAGGAGATAGAGTGTTTTTGGAAAAGACAGACCCATATCTGTGCTTAAATCTCAAATAAAAGAAAGACCTGCAAAAGCAGCTGACTCTGGAGTACTGAGGACACACGTTTCTTCCCCCACTTCTTAGGGTCAGAAGAGTGGGTTGACTTACCAAGGAATAGATGTCCAAAACTGCTAAGATATGAACCCAGAGAGTTAAACACAAAAGAAATGGAGCTTTGATCCTGGAAAGACTAACTCAAGTTCCTCAATTATGATGAAAGAGCAGTGAGCAAAAAGGGCCTGTGTGGGTACTGTCACCTGACCAGCAGCAAGAAGTCTTTGGGTGGCATCTCCAGATCCCACTTCTGACACCAGAAACTTCCAAAATAAAGCACAAAAGGAGTTAAGATATATAGGGGTTATTCAAGCAGTTAATCTGTATGCATACAAGGAGACCTTTCTGTTCAAAAAAACAGGTAGGTTTGTCTTAGGCTAACTTCAGTGAGTTTTTTAAGGAGAAAAGAGGAAATACAGAGCAGAAATTAAACATTGACTAATTTTTGGCATATTTATCTTGGATTCTTTGCACGAGATAAATTTTGAGTAAGTTAATGGTTAACAGATGTCACAACAGATTTGTGTGACTTTATGGTCACTGTGTCTCCTATATTCCTGTTTTTCTGCTCGTGGGTACACATTCCACAATAGTCAAGGACCTTTGTGAATTTTCCTGTGTGCTCAGAGGAATCTGTCAGCTTGGTCCTCAGTTTCTCTCTTTAATAGATGTTTAGAGTGAGGGAAAGGGAGGAATTGACGGTGACTCAGATTTTTAACTTTTGCTTCAGGGAAGATGGTGGTGCTGTTTACTGACGGAAGACTGAGGTTGGGGAAGAAGAAAGGAATTGGTTTTAGGGGAAAAATAAAGTTACGTTTGGGACATGTTGGAGATGTCATGTGTTGTTTTTAGGTGCCATCGAGTTGGTTCCAACTCATAGTGACCCTGTGCACCACAGAACGAAACACTGCCCGGTCCTGCGCCATGCTCACAATCGTTGTTAGGCTTGAGCCCATTGTTGCAGCCACTGTGTCAGTCCATCTCATTGAGGGTCTTCCTCTTTTTCGCTGACCCTGTACTTTACCAAGCAAGATGTCCTTCTCCAGGGACTGACCCCTCCTGACAACATGTCCAAAGTAGTCATTTAGTCATTTTTTAATGTGAATCCTGGGTTTAGTAGAGAGCTATAGGTTGGAGATAAATATTGGGGACTCAATAGCATAATGATGGTATTTAAACCCATAAAAGGAGGAGCAGGAGTCCCTGGGTGGTGCAAACTGTTAAAGTGCTCGGCTGCTAATTGAAAGGTTGGTGGTTCAAGTGCACTCAGAGGTACCTTGGAAGAAAGGTCTGGTGATCTTCCAAAAATCAGCCATGGAAAACCCTATAGAGCAGTTCTGCTCTGACATATATGGGATTACCATGAGTCGAAGTCAACTCAATGGCAACTGATTTTTTTTTAAGGGGAAGACCAAAAAAAAAAAATGAGGAAGACCAGAGGGTCCTGAAGTCACATAGAGAAAGGAGAGCCAGTCAGGAAGACCAAAAAGAGCAGCCAGTGAGACAGTGATGTTTGTGGAAGGAGAATGGTGTTACAGAAGCCCACAGTGGAAAATATTTCAAGAAGGAAGTAGTGGGCGAATGAGGGGTTCCAAATGTTGCTGAGGGGTGAAGTAAGAGGAGGCCAGAGAAGCGTCCTTTATATTTGACAATAGCAGTTTTAGTGGAGTGGAATGGAAGCCAGGTTTTACTGAGATTAAATAGTAAATAGGAAGTGGATCAGTGTAGATTCTTCTCTTTCCACCAGCCTACTCCTTGCTGTCATTGTCCTTTGTAGTGACTCAATTGCATTGATACACATAGAAAAAGAGCAGTTACTTACTCATCTAAAATAGTTGTGATCACTTATGCTTATTTTAGGATCTGGATGATGTGTTGGAGAAAGCCAAGAAGGTAAGTCAATATCTATTAATTGCCTTATTTTTTGTTTGTTCTTTACTAATTGCAAGCTGTAACTGCTTGAAATTTAGATATACTATGCTGATGTTTCTTCAGCAGTTAATAGATAGCATTGATTGTTCACTATGTGTCAGGCTCTATGCTCAGCTGTTTATGTGCTTTATCTCATTTAATGTTTCACAACAACCTTCTGAGGAAGTTACTATTTTATAGCCAACCACCCCCCGTTTTATAGATAAAGAAACTGAGGCCTAGAGAAGTAGTCCAAAGATACACCACTAATAAAGTGTTAGAGACAACATAGTCCGCATCTAAAACGTGCTTTCAGCCACCGTGTATACCAGCAATATGGAACAGATTGGTCCACTTGTCAGTTCTTAAATTCACATTATTCTGGACATCTTCGATAAATTAAACTCACGTTATTCTGGAGATCATGGATAAATTATACGTTTTATAAAACATTTTGATGTGTTTGAAGAAAAATAATGAAATTCATTTTAACTAGTATTTTCAGTTTTCTCATAAAGTGGTAAACCCAGAAGTATTTGCCAGCACAAATTTATATACATTTATACAGGAGCCTGGGCTATGGTGTTACACAGGCGTAATGGCCTTGGGAAGGAGCTCTGGTGGCGCAGTGGTTAAGCACTCAGCTGCTAACTGAAAGGTCAGCGTTTTGAACCCACCAGCCACTCTGGGGAGAAAGATGTGACAGTCTGCTGCCATGAAGATTACAGCCTTGGAAACCTATGGGGCAGTTCTCCTGTGTCTAATAGGGTTGCTAGAAGTCCGAATCAAGTCACTGGCAGTGGGTTTGGGTTTTAATGATCTTGGGCAAGTTATTTGACCTTATCTAAAACTTGGTCTCTTACCTAGAAAATGGATTATAGCAATGCCTACTTGCAGGGCAATGGGCTTCTCTTTATATGTGGCCTTTCTGGCCCTGGGTTTGTAGTTCTGCTAAGATGATTTGCTAGGCCACAATACTGCAAAGAGATTGGTTAGTGTACTATACCAATAAGGTGTGTAAAACCCCTGCAGGGGCTGGTCAGTTACTACACAGACTGGGAGGCTGTGGCATACCGAGGGGACTGGACAGTTTTGCCATTCTGCTAGGCTTAAAAGAACCAATCCCACAGAGGCTGAGGGAGACCTCACTACCATCAAAAAAAAAGATTGGGAGCAGAGTGGGTCCTTTCAGTCCAGGGTCTCTGTGCTGAGAACCTCCTAGACCTAAGAGACAGAGATGGCTGTAACATTGGAGACAGCATGAGTGGCAAGAACCAGGAGACCAGCTCCAGATGGCTACGGTGGGCTTCCTGGCCCACAGAGCAAGGTGGCTGCAGGGGGCAGCTGACCCACAGAGTGAGAGAGCTGAGCACCTTCGGAGAGGAGGCTTCCTGCCACAGGGGGCTGCCTCCAGGCACTTATCAGCAGAGCTGAAGAGCTATAGTACTTGACTGAGCAGGGCAGAGGCTGAGAACGAGGGTCAGCTGTGGGTGCAGTCAAGAAGAAGCTGAGCGCTGTCTTGGTTGGAAGCTGTCTTGGTTGACAGACTGTCTCCTGTCTCCTGAGTTCTTTCTGTTACTTCAAAGTTGATCCTGATCCTGAATTGTAACCTGTTACTTCCCTAATAAACCACATAATCATGAGCGTGGTCTATGAGTTCTGTATGGCCATTGCAACAAATTATTAAGCCCAGCAGAGAAGTAGAGAACGCCATGGAGAGAAGAGTTGGTGTCAGAATTGATAAAAAGGTTGGAGAGTAGAGATATGTCTGACCGCCGCCTCATAGGAATCAGCTTTGGGCTGATGGTGATTATCCTCCTCCCTCATGAAGTTAGAGGACTTCAGACGCTTCCACCTAACACCAGCTTGTAGGGTGGTTCTGTAGATTAAATGAGGTAACACTTACGTTCACTGAGCACAGTGCTGAAACGTGGTAAGTACTCATTGCTATTACATCAGTGCAGTGAGGTGAGCCAGGGAGACTAAAATGCACAGAGAACTTTAAAATTTCATTCTGTATTGGATGTGTATATTGTTCGGGAGTCCTAACTATTGTGCTCTTTTTGTTTCAGGCCAATGTTATGGCCCTTGTGGCAGTTGCTGAACATTCAGGAGAATTTGAAAAGATCATGCAGCTTTCAGAAAGGTACTGCTTGTAATGAGAGCTTTTGCATAATGTCAGATTGATATCAAAGATCATCCATTTTTAAAGAGAATGGGAAGGAAAAATCACATTAACATACCCCTAAAAAGAGATTCTGCTTGCTCGTCAGAGTAATCTTGTCTGCTGCTGCCCTTGCTTTTTTACTTCATTCCACATTTCTAGGTACAGTGGATTTATCCTGCCATGCTTGGGTGTTCACCCAGTTCAGGGACTTCTACCAGAAGATCAAAGAAGTGTCACATTAAAGGTAACAGTCATATACAACAAGAACCATCAAGCATGATAATGCCTTTTGACTCAGTAACCCTTTTTCTAACTTAGTCTAAGGAAGTAACCCAAAAGGGGGAATCACTATCTTCCTTCACAAAGATATTTTTCACAACATTATTTGTAATAAAGAAGTGGAAAGAGCCTAGAGGTTCAGAAGCAAAGGAATCATTAGTTAAACTGTAAGTGTTAAATGTAATGTATTTGTGGAAAATGAGGATTACAAGGTTTATGTAGCACGGTGGAAGCTGTGTACAGTATAATATAGAGAGAAAAGCAGGACACCAAATGGTTTATTCACTGTGAGCGACAGCCGCGTAAAACATGTCCTGTTAGGAAAAGACTGGGGAGAAAAACACAAAAATGATAGTAGCTGTGACAGTCTGGTGGAATTATGGGTGACTTTTTTTTTCCCCCACATTTTTTGTCATGTTGTTTTGGCAAAAAAAGTGTTAGAATATCTAGAAAAAAAGAGTCAAATTCACTGGTACGGTACTATAAGGGAACAGATGAGCTCAAGAAGTGGTATTTCCTTGAACGCAGGGCCTCCATCTATCAACTGCCCTGACTTTATGTCTTCCCTAACAATAAAAACCAGCCACAAGGTTTCACTGATCACAACAGTCAACATGCCTATTTTCAGACTTCTCTCCCAATTCAACATCAGGAGGATGCAGTTTCTTTTTTTTTTTCCAATTGTTCTTTAGATGAAGGTTTACAGAGCAAATTAGTTTTTCATTAAACAGTTAACACACATTGTTTTGTGACATTGGTTGCCACCCCCACGACATGTCAACACTGTCTCCTCGACCTTGGGTTTTTGATAGTCCGTGTGAGAAGTGATGGACTGGACCAGGATGGCATGAAGGAGGTGAAGAAATGTGGGTAGATCTGGTGTATTATTTTGAGTGTAGAACTGATAGGATGGTTTAACTTATAAAAGTAATGAAAATACCAACAGTAGATAGGTCTTTCTGGATTTTCACATCAGCTCTGAACTCATCAGATCTCAGGATAAATGTCTGGAATAGACTGGTGATAAGTTGGCTAGTCCTATCTTATTCCTATTGTAGTTTATGCTACGGTTTAATTTTCTCGTACTTATTAGAGTACAAGCTCCTTTAAGGCAGGAACTATAGTTTATCGTACCTTCAGAACCCTCCCTAAGATGTGGTGCAAAGCTGGGTGTGTAGTGAGCGTTCATTGAGTTCGCTTGATTTGTAAGTTGAAGAATTGCCTCTTGTTGCTGTTGGTTGCCATGGAGTCGATTCTGACTCATGGCGAGTCCACATGTGCAGGGTAGAACTGTGGTCCACAGGATTGTCAAGGTTGTGACCTTTCAGAAGCAGATTGCCAGGCCTGTCTTTTGAGGTGTCTCTGGATGGGCCTAACATTACACAAATCTTTCAGCATATTCCTGAATTATTCAATAAATATCGTTACCAGGCACTGTTTAGACACTGGGCATACTGTACCTGTAACCCATTACCATTGAGTTGATTCTGACTCCTATCGACCCTGTAGGACAGAGTAGACCTGCCGCATAGGGTTTCCATGGAGCCGCTGGTGGATTCAAACAGCCGACCTTTTGATTAGCAGCCGAGCTCTTAATCACTGTGCCACCTGGGCTCTTTGGATACCGTGGTGAACCACAAGTCACTGGCTGCAGTCTGCTGCCCCTGCAGGCAGAGCACGTGCACCCCAGTTCACCACTGCCCCTGCTTCGCCACTGCACTCATTTTTGTTCTCAAGGGTCTGAAGACTAACCGTTTTCTCTAATGAAAAATCTTTGTCATTATTTAAAATCAGAATAAGCATCTTCCCCCATTCCCGTTCTCCTTTCTTTCCTCCTTTTTTTCCGTCCTTCCCTCCTTCCTTCTTTCAGCAGTGTGCTGGAAACAGCGTGGGCTTGGAAGTCAGGAAAGACCTGGCCTACTGGGTTGTATTTGATCTGTGGCAACTGACTTAACTTTGCCAAGTCTCAAGTCCCTCATTTGTAGCTCATGAATAATAATATAATAGTGGTGGTGGTACCCCCAATCATAGGGTGTGGGATCTTGAAAACTCCTGTAATAGGACCACTAGCTGTTAAGGATCTTGAGACCTTACAGGGGAAGTGGGACTAGAAGGACCACGGAGATAGACGTGTGAGCGCCCTTATAAATATTTTCACATCTACTAAAGAAAAAGCATGCAGAAAACCACATTGACACGTTAAAGTAGTAATACGAGTTACCTGTGTTCTGCTGTTCATTTCTATTTACCATACTTGACTTGCCAGAAACTTCCAGAGCTGTTTCATTAGGAGTTTTGAGCAGTCTCTTTGTAAATTTGTTTCACCGTTTTCATAGATAACACATATTCTAAGAGGCCTGTTTCTATGTCTGGTCTTCATCCAAATGCGTGGTTTCTTTCTCACCAAGACTTTCTAAGTGCCAAACATCTCCTGGGTGCTGCCTCCCACTTCCCCAGTCCCTCCGAAACACAGAGTAGTTTGAATGTTTGATACCAGGAAGCTTTACCTGACCCTGTTTAAGCCACTCAACCTTCCGTCAGACAGCTGTGCTGATATCCAGGATTGTGTTCTCACGACAGCGCTAATTCTTCTCCGTCAAGTCCACTAGGCTGTTTTCCTAAGGCCTTGATTTACCCTCCCTCATATTTTCTCTTTCTCAAGGCATAATTGTAAAACCTCCTGTTCCTCCACCATCTGCTTCATCTCCCTTTACTTAATTCTCTCTTGTTCTGATTATCCCCAGTAAAAGTACCTTTCAGTTCACGTATCCCAAAACTCAGATCTTCAAAATAGTTTAAAAGGTATCTAGAAGCAATTTCCCGTATATTTGTCTTTCTCCTGCCTTATAAAGGACCCTCACAGGGTGAATTAAGTGGAAATGATAATATCATTGAAATTAATGGTACACAGTTACTTCCATAGTTAACAAACAAGCAGATATATGATATTCGTTGTTTATACTGTTGAATCTTTAGGACAAAAATAGGCCAAGCAGGACTGTAAAGATAAAGGAGGTAAATGAAGACAGTGCAAAGAATTTATGGGATTTCACCGTTATAAACTCACAAACCACGAGTATCCTTTGAGAAGAACTTAAATACACTCCCAAAAATTCACCTACAAACGTGGCCACCTGGCGGCTCTCCTTTCTCTTGCTCATCTGTTCCCGGAAATCTAAAACAGTCCTCCTAAATGCCAGCGAAGCCCTCCTAAACAGGGGGTGGTTAAGTGTAAACCTTCACTGAAACCCATATTCTTGTAACCTCAGTGAGCTTATCTTGGCTGTGTCTCTACTCAGATTTCAGTGAGAGGTACTCGGCATCACGGAAGGACAGCTATCCCTCGTTTCCTGAATGGTTAGGGGATTAAATGCATGTGGGGCACCCGGCATAGCATAGTGCCGGGCCTGTAAGGTGTTCACAAAGTATCAGTTCCCTTCTCCTTCCATTTTAACAATGTGCTTTCTTTCTTTCAGGATTTGGATATAGCTTTGCCCATTATCGAAAATTATAGGGATCAGTTGTTGGCAATTGGAGAGGTAAACACCCATTGGCTGATCATGACTTCTAATACAGACAGAAATATGAGAGATGAAAATAGTCTTTCGTTCAGTATTGGTGGTTATAATTGTCTTGGATAACTACGTTTACCTTTCAGCTGAGTAATAATTTATTGATACTGTCTCAATGAGCAAAAGAGCCTGGGGATGAAACAATAGAAAGTCTCACCACAGGTTTATCTGAATGGGGAAAACTACCTTCCTAGGGTTTCTGTATGCAGTCAGTTCTCCTTATTCATGGTGGTTTGTTCTGTAAACCCTCCACAAGCACTGACTTAGTGAGTACTGAGCCATCGCCCCAGGGGAACACGGAGTTAGAGTTCCCTGAGCGTCTCGTTACCTTTTCTGTGTGACACAGTAATGCAAATACAGAAAGTATTGGGAAAAAAATGGAAGGTTAAACATTTAAATTATAAAAATAGTCACTGGAAGCTTATTTTTGAGGGAGGTGTAGGATGTGTGACGGAGCACGGCGCTGGGTGGTTGGCCCTCTCGTCCTTGGCCTCCCCACAAAGACCGAGGGAGAGGCTGGTGGAACGCTGGAAACGTGCTCTCCCACATAGCCCTTTTCCTGTGTGACACGTAGCAGGCATTTTTTAGATTTTTCTGCAGCCTCTTGATCTGCAGAACTTGTCTTGACTGCAAGGTTACCGTGTTTTATACCATGTCGTTCTGAAACGTGCATGCCCACCAGCACTAGCTGGGAGGGGTGAGATTTCCCGACCCTGGGCAACGCGACTGTACGCTTCCTTCACGTTCAGCCTCACAACAGCGCTATCCACTCTGCTGTTTTATTGGTTTTCATCTCACGAATCCACAGATTTAGCTGCTTTTCCGTCTCTTCCGTAGCTTCTCCGCGTTCTGTAGCGTGGCGTTCCATCACGTCTACACTGTCGATGTTGCCTAGTGCTTTCAGGACCTCGTGCCCAGAGCGGCCAAGGTCTTCTTCCTTTCCTGGATGGCGCCAAACTTGATTCATTAACAGTGAACTCACCCCGACAACACTGAGACTCGTGCCTAAACGAGGCTCATCTCACGTGTTTTCTCCGTAAGGCACGTCACAGCCTTCTTGTGCTTAGGACCCTAGACAGCAGTTCAGCGCTGCCCTTGGGGCCGTTTAGACAGGGAAACCACCAACAAAAATGCGGACCACGTGACACTAAGTAGACTGAGAAGGGGCACCTGTTTACGGTTTGAGAGCCGACGCAGGAAGGCCCAGCGACACCTTGTTCCGCCTCAGCTGGGGACGTGTGTCAGTGACTCACGTTGCCACCGTTCCGTGCGTGACCGGGAAAGAGCTGCGCACGTTGATTCGGAGTTACCAAAAATTTCAGCGCATATGCAAATTGGCAAATACAGAACCTGTGAATAATGAGGACTGACTGTGCTTTTTATTCTTTTGTTTCAATATGTGTTCTCTAATAAAACAGTATATGCAGTTTTTTTGTAAATAATTTAGAAACACACTTTAAATAGACCAACAGTAACCAACCAGTTGGTGCTGAGTTGATTCCCAGTCGTAGTGGCCCCGTGGATGCAGAGTACACCTGCACTCCGTAGGGTTTTTAAACTGTGACCTTTCAGAGACAGATTGCCAGACCTTTCTTCCGAGGTGCCTGTGGGTGGGTTTGAACTGCCAGCCATTTGGCTGGTAGTCGAGGGGTTAACCGTTTGCACTACCCAGGAACTGCTTTAAATAGACTAGAGTTTGTAATTGAGAAACTTTTTTAATTCAAGTAATTTATGGTTGTGAACTATTTTAATCATTTGGTAAAATTCTGTTTCTAATTAAAGATAAGAATAACAGTTAAACTCAGAACATAGATTACGGTGTAACAGTGCATGCCGAAGTATTATCAGGGGAAGCGGTCGTGTTTACTCTGTGCTGTTCTGTACGGTGGCTGCATGCAGCTGGTGAGCGCTTAGAATGTAACTGTTCTGATTTACAGCAAAGACTTACTACAAAAAATAGAGATTGTGTATGTATATAATAACTCATAAGCCTACGTTGATTAAATGTTGAAATAATGATGTTGGGTACACGGTGTTAAATGACGTGTGTTATCAAGGTTACTTCCACCTGTTGTCAAATGTTTTCAATGTGGCTGCTAGAAAGGGTAGTTGTGGCTCACGCTGTATTGTTAGCGTTAGCACTGACCTGCAGCATCTCTTGTGAGGTTTTCTTTCTCCCCTGTTGCAGGTCGGGCTCGACTTTTCCCCCCGGTTTGCCAGCACTGATGAACAGAAGGAAGAACAAAGACAAGTCCTAATCAGACAGGTCCAGTTAGCCCGAAGACTGAATCTGCCTCTGTAGGTTAATGACTCATCTTTCTGTGTGAACAGCTCTAGTGCAAATTAAATAACGATCAGAGAGCTCCTCCTGAAATGCAGCTCTGCCTTTCTTTTTCTCTGAGTTGCATTCAGAGAACAAAACGGTGAAACCTGTGAGAGCCGGAACTTGTTGGGCTGCCTTGTTTTTCCGCATCTCGAGAGTGTTTTGCCTTTGGCAGGGTGCAGGATTACTACTGTCTTTGGTCTCTGTTAGTGGGAAGGATTTGAGTTCTCCTTCTCTGACAGGTCTCCACCTTACACAGGTTCTGGCTTTCGCAGGTTTTACCATGATATTTTCAGACCTCAGTACATGGAAACCCTGGTGGCACAGTGGTTAAGAGCTCAGCTGCTAACCAAAAGGTTGGCAGTTTGAATCCACCAGGCACTCCTTGGAAACCCTATGGGACAGTTCTACTCTGTCCTGCAGGGTCGCTATGAGTCAGAATCGACGCAACGGTTTGGTTTTTTTTTTTTTAAGTAAGCAGAAGAAAGATTTGGCAGTCAGCTTCCATAGAGGTTTACAGTCTTGGAAACCCAGTGGGGTTGCCATGAGTTGCAGTTGATTGGACGGTGGTGGGTTAAGTACCTCACTGGGATTTTCTTGCTTTTACATAGAAATGTTCACTCACGCTCAGCTGGAAGACCCACCATCAACCTCTTACTTGAGCAAGGTATTTGGGTTGCCTCCTACTTAAATACGACAGTTGCCGTCCATGTTCTCATAGAGCAGCCGGCTTTTAATTTGATTTCTTAAAGGGAAAGGAATAGGACAAGGGTGGGGGTGGGAATCACCTAAGGTGAGTTTGTAGGTCGGGTCATTGTTCACAAGGTTTCTGGCATGATTCTGACAGCTATCAAGCTAGGAGAGAGTACATGAAAAATTGGATTAAATCATATTCCTTAATTAAAAATTTAGCAGCTCCACTTTCTGAATCAGCTGAACCAGCTGAGTGGTGAGGGAGAGGACAGCGCAGGGCAGAGAAGGGCAGGATTGCCATTCTGCATGTTTTCTGCTTGCTGCTGTAGAAAATGGTCTCAGATGGATTGTGGCCATTGTACATACAATGCGCCTGCATCTTCGTAAAGTAAAAATAAATCTTACAGCATTATTTTCAATCTGCTTTAAGTGCCATCCACGGTAAGAAATATACTTTATTTTGAGACTCAGTATTTACATACATAAAAAAACTGACAAAAGATTAGCAAACAGTACATATATGTGTGCATCCGTATGTGTAAGTGTGTGTATGTATGTGTACACACACGTGCACACTGTGGTTGTGACCCACGGAATTGATTTCGTAACTTGCTACGGTCATAACCTGCTAATGATCGCACCTGCCGTTTGAAAACTGCTGTCGGATAATGAAGTACATGTAAATGATTGCAAATGGAAAGCCTTGGGCATTTTGTGATGAGAGCTAAACCCTCTGAAGTCACGGAAAGCGTGGTTTGTATACAGGTTCAGCGGCACAGAAAGGGCTAGAGGAGGTTTTGTGCAGCTGGCTCTGACTACTGAGTTCCTGAGCTGTCTAGTTCTCCTGGATAATTCTGCCCCTGGCATTTCTATTACGAAAAGCAATATGACTGCTGAAGAGTCCCCTCTTAGGAACAATAGTTTGACAGCTCACAAATTCTGGAAAAGGTTTGATGGTACAGGAAGTCTAAATAATTATTTAAAAGTCTGTATTTTAATTTTCTTTACTAATTTTATTCTGAAGATTAAGAATTTACTATATTTTTATTCTGCTGTTTGGATACTCTGCATCTGTCTACCTTTCAGAAGCCATAGACCCTCGTCTTTATATCATAGTAGCCAACATGGAGTTAAAATCTCTCATCTTTGTCGTTCAGTTTGATTACTGAGAAAACCTCCTGTTAAGAAAATAAAGTGGAGGCAGCTCCTGTCCGGAGGTGAGATGAGAAGGCAGAGGGTCAGGAGCTGGTTGAATGGACATGAGGAGTCAGGGGTGGAAAGGAGGAGTGTACTGTCACAGTCTGGGGAGAGCAATTAGGGTCACATAACAACGTATGTATAAATTTCTTTATGGGAGACTAACTTGAAATGTAAACTTTCACTTAAACTACAAGAATAAACAAAAAGAAAGTGGAACTCTGATTGAGCTGTAATGTTTGACAGGCGCTGACAAGGTGCTGCTGCACGCGTTTGACGGCCGGCCATCTGTGGCCATGAAAGGAGTAAGAGCTGGGTACTTCTTTTCAATTCCGCCTTCTGTCGTCAGAAGTGGACAGGTGATTCTTTCTTTACACCCCCTCTGACGTTTTGTGAGCTCGCTCTTTTTTTTACGCCATTCTAATACATGCCTAGTCATCACTCATGGTGGTTTCATTTGCATTTCCTCAGTGACTAGTAATGTCACATACCTTTCCATATGCTTGTTTACCATCTACACATCACAGCTCCTCTTTGCTGATGTCCTGTTCAGAGCTTTTGCAGCTTCTTAATTTGGTTTTCTTATTATCGAGTTGGCAGAGTTCTTCATATATTCTGATACAAGTGCTTTTGCTGCTGTGTGTTTTGCAAATATTTTCTCCAAGTCTTTCATTTTCATAATGGTATCTTTCAAAGTGTAAGTTTTTAATTTCGATGAACTTCAGTTTATCCTTTTTTTTTTTTTTTTTTTTTTAAGGTTTGTGCTTTTGGTGTCAAATGCAAGAAATTTGCCTAACCCAAGGTCACAAGGTTTTTCTCCTTGTTTCTAGAAGCCTCATAGACTGAGGTTGTACTTTTGGCTCTATGATCTGTTTTATATATAATATGAGTTATGAGTCGGGATTCTTTTTATTTTTTGCCTGTAAATGTCCAGTCCCAGTACCGTTTGTTGAAAAGACTATTCTTTCTCCCTTAAATTACTTTGGCTTTTTTTTTTTTTTTTTTTTAATGAATTAACCATATGTGGGGAAGGGGGTCTATTTCTAGCTTTTTGTTCTGTCCATTGATCTATATATCTTCCTTAGGCCAATATCATAATGTTGTGATTACTACAGATTTATAGTAAGTCTTGAAACCAGGTAGTATGTGTCCTCCAACTTGACTCTTTGTTTTTATAAGTAATTTGGCTATTCTAGATCCATTGTTTTTCCATTAAATACTAGAATCAGCTTCGTGATTTCTTTAAAAGAAAGTCAGCTGGGACCTTGGGATTACACTGACTCTCTAGATCAGTTTGGGGAGAGTTGGCATGAACACGGGGTATTTATCTATTTAGATTTTCTTTGATTTCTCATCAATTTATTGTAGTTTTCAGCATTCAGATCTTACGCGTATTTGGATAAATTTATCCCTCAGTATTTCAGATTGAGATGTTATTGTAAATGGTACTGTTTTTTTAAATTTCAGTTACCAGCTTCCATTGCTAGCATATGGAAATACAGTTGGTTTTATATATTGAATTTCTTATCAAGCGACTTTCTAAGCTCGTTTATTCCAGTAGGGTTTTGTAGATTCTTTAGGATTTTTTACATAAGCTATCATGTCATCTGTGAATAAAAACAGTTTCCTTTTGCCTTTAGGATATGTATACCCGTTATTTGTTTTTCTTGCTTTATTGTACAAGCACCAGCACAGTGTTACTTTTGGTCTCTGTGATTCTCTGTAGTTTTTTTCTGTCATCAATTTCATTGATTTCAGTTATCTTTATGATTTCACTCCTGCTGGTTTTGAATTTAATGTGATGTTCTCATTTTATCTTTATTTCTCATGTTTTAAACTTACTAGCTATTTTTTTCCTCCAAGAAGCAGAAACTTGTGGAACAGTTGCCTCTCACTTCTGTGTGCTTAGAAACAGACTCACCTGCACTAGGACCAGAAAAACAAGTAAATGATTTTCCAGTTTCTGCGTTATTTAGATTGTGTCTTTCATTTGACCTACTTCCGATTTGGCTGTGTTTCTCGTTTTAGTGTAAATACAGTGGAATCCTGTTTTAATGCTAGCTTGAGGGATTATATTAACTTTACTTCAGTGTTTTTTCTAAATATACTTGTTATGCTCCAGAGAATAAATTGAATGTGGAGCATGTCCTTATTTATGCGGCAGTGACAGCCGATCAGTAGAGTAACAAACACAATGTCTGGAGTCAGAAAGACCTGGGTTGGAATCCTGTCTTTGCTACGGATAGTAACGGTGTGACTTTAGACAAGTTACTTAATATCTCTGAAACTGTTTCTTCATTTATAAAATGTGGGCAAAATAATAAATACTTTAAAGGATTCCAGTGAGTATTAAATGAAGTAATGTATGTGAAAGTGCCTGGCAGTGTCTGCTCAATAAATGTTCATCTTCCTTCTTTAATTAGCCATGTTATAATGAGGTTCTATTTCTTTTTGTACAAGTATTTATATATTCATAGGTTTATGTATGTGACCTTTGCTGTAGCATCTCATTTTGTTACTAGAGGCCATGAAAACTTGTATTTTAAATTTCATACGGTTTTATATTGATACAATTTTGAATTATACTTTCCTGAAGGGAAGCTACAGTGTCTGCTTTATTTATTCAGTTCCTGTTAGAGTAACCTCCCAGTGTGTAGCTTAGTAAGCACTCTGACTGCCCATCAAATCTGTGTCTCCGTGCCTGCCCCATTCAGACAGACCACTGCCATCCAAGATTAAGAGGCTTGGGAGCAGTAGACAGGTGATTATTAATAAGCTATGATTATTTATGATGGCAATGTGAATTTTGTAAGTTAATATCCAGTTAATTAGGTATTTTCTTAAATCCGTGTTTATAAGAATATAAAAACAGTAGCTAAAAGGTGGAAACAACCTAAATACCGATTAACAGGTGAATGAATAAACAAAATGTGGTTTGTACATACAATGGAATACTACTCAGCCCGTAAGAAAAATGAAGTCTTGACATATGCTACAGTATGGGTGGAGCTGGAGGACATTATGCGAGGGCAATAAGCCAATCACGAAAGGACAGATACCGTATGACCTCACTTAACTAAAAAGACAAGAGCAAGGAAATGTATAGAGACCAGAGTTTATTAGTGGTTACGGGGGTAGGAGGGAGGGGAAGAGGAGGCTTATTGCTTATGGATTACTGAGTTTCTGTTTACGGTGAGGGAAAAATCACATTGAATAAGGATAGGGTTGCACAGCTGATTAATTGCTTTCAATAAGTTGTACACCTGTAACAAGTTGAATTAGCAAAAGCAGTGTGATATATTTACAACAACGACAAGAGAAAAAGAGTAGCTGCTGAGGCTGCTTATGTACGACCAAACACCTTATGGGATTTGGTTCCTTAGTTTGGAGGTTTAGAGTCATGGTTTTATGGGACATCCCAGTTAATTGGCCTAATAACATGTTCAGTGCTTCTCTTCTGCCTCCTAATTCGTTGCATAGTGCCTGGGGTCTTGAAAGTTTACAAGCGGCCATCCAAGGCACAACAATTGGTCTCTGTTTGCCTGGAACAACAGAGGAAGAAGGAGAGTCAGGAATAGGAGGAGGTAGAATGTGTGGCTAATTGCCTCCATGAACAACTTGCTCCCTTTGCCATGAGACCAGAAGAGCTGGATGGTGCCCGGCTACCATGACTGAACACTTTGATCAAAGATTCCATAGATGAATCCTGATCAAAAGAGGGGAAGTGCAGAACAGAATTTCAAATTCTCATGGAATCCAGACTTTCTGGAGCTGTGGATGGTAGATTAAACCCTGAAATTATCGCCCTGAGATAATCTGTAAACCTTAAATCAAAAATGTCCCCTGAAGTCATCTTAAAACTGAGCAATAGTTTAGCTTAACTAGTAAAAAAAGGTCTGCCTTGCGCATTCAAAAGATTAGATAGGAACCTTAGGGTCCCTGGAGTTTATGTTAATGAGGGAGGAACAACTCAGAAAAGGAGGGTGAGAATGGCTACCCAACTCAGAATGTAATCAGCATCCCTAAATGGTATGTGTAGAAGCTGTTGAATTCTCAACAACAACAAAATAAATACAATTACATAAAAAAAAAAGAAAGAAGAAACAATTATACTGCGACCTGCCAAACCAGTGCGTAATCTGTTTAGTCTCTCAGACAAACAGCGTCTCTTGAATAAAGTGCAGTGGAGCCGTGAGGTGTCGAGGCCCAGGGGCAGAGGTGACCTTCGTAAGCGCTCACTGGAGCAGTGAGCCAGAGGACAGTTAATCCTCGGTCAGGCAGCTTACCCAGTGCTCACTGCTGCAGACTGCCTTGTGTGCTAGGTCCTGGGAACTCAATTGCTAAAACCCTGGCCGTCTTTTCAGGAGGACCGTGTCCTTACAATCAACATTGCAGCCACAGCTTAAGCTAAAGTTCAGGACCTCCTCCCTCTCTGGACACGGCCCGCCCATTTAAAAAAAAAGGGAGCTCATCCAGTGTTTTTGGGTTACTTGCAGTCGAGTTGATTCCGACCTGTGGCAACTCCATGTATCACAGAGTAGAGCTGCCCCACAGGTTTCTTGGCTGTAACCTTAATGGAAGCAAATCACCAGGCCTGTTTTCCGAGTTACCACTGGGTGGGTTTGAACTGCCAACCATTAAGTTAGCAGTCAAGTGCAAACTGTTTGCGCCACCTGGCTAGAAAATATCATTTATTCAATGAATATTTACACGGGTGTCATGCTTGGCTTAGGGTCTACTTTGTTCTATTTCAGGTGCGGAATGAGCCTCGGAACATTTACATTTCAGCAGAATATATTGCCCAGGTGAAAGGGATCTCAGTGGAAGAAGTTATAGAAGTGACCACACAGAATGCATTGAAACTTTTTCCCAAGCTACAGCAGCTGCTCCGGAAATAGCTTCAAAACCATCAATTACAAAACCAAGTCAGCTGCAGGGGGCAATATTTGAGGGAAAATAGTGTCCTGGTTAAGAATCTGAACTGAAGAAGCCATTTTATAGAGATTTAGGAGATTATAATTTTAGAGAAATATTTGCTTTTAGATCCTGGAAACCTGGGTTCTCCTTCTAGCCTCGTGCTGCTTTTCAGTTAATGGAGTCCTGACAGGAGATCAGGAAGCTCTGCTGCTTCCCGTCTTCTCGTCAAGTAGAACCACCTCAGGAGCCGAAACCATTTCTTCAGGGAAGGGCGGGCCCCCACAGGTGAGAGACAAGCACCTCAGCGAGCAGGAGCGAGCAGGCTGCATGGCAGTCCTTCACCACCTGGTTTACTTCCTGCACGATTTACCCAGTAAAGGGCGAGTGTCTAGTTCCACACGTCAGAAATCTTCCCTTTTCTAGGTTTGTAAAATTGAACTGTCAGTACTTTGATTTCTCTCCTTTCAAGAGAAAAATATACAAAGTTTTCATATTGATCTTAGATTTTGATTGATGAGGCCAGTGTTTGTACCAAACCCAAAGTCTGGTTAGTAAGCTGACCTAAGTCTCGGTCTGGGTTTTGTCATGTTCACATTTAGTTAATATAAATGACTTTATTAAATATGTATCCGACTTTTGTGTGCAGTAATATTTTATATTTTTAAGTTTAAAAAATGTTATGTACAGTTAATCAGGTATTGTGCTCCATACCAAAACCTAGGTATTAATTTTGTTAAATTATATAAACAGCAAATGCTGGAAAAAATACCTGTCCAAAAAAAAAAAAAAAATTCCTAAAAGCGTAGAGATTTTACATAGTAGATTTTCAAAAAGGAATTCATTTATAGAGGAATGAAAACTAGTGCTAGGGCAGATTGTGCAAACCAAATTAGACGAGCTGAAAAGCGGATTAGGGTGCTTTATGAGGTACTTAACTCTCTGTCAGCATTGCTATAGATGAGGTTTCTACGTTAAATGAGGAGTTATATAAAACTAGACTTCTGAGCTCTCGTTCGACTCTGACACTTTCCCTATTTCCTACCCCGTCTGCCTACACTCCCTTTGACACAGACTCTTCCCTTTAAATCCTTTAAGGTCAACTTAAATGCCATCACTTTGCCTGATCACTCCAGCCAGACATGATTCTGGTCCTCTGAATTGTTTAACACTTTCTTCATTTATTCCACAAAGAGTTATGGAGCCCCTCTTGCAGGCTGCCCACTATTCTAGCTCCATAGATTCCAAGGAGGAGTGGGACATGGCCGTTGCCCTCAGTCAGTTCACAGCTTAATGAAGGAGCTCCTTGTTGTGGTTAGGTGCCGTCGTTGCTATGCTTGAGCCCGTTGTTGCAACCACTGTGTCAGTCCATCTCATTGAGGGTCTTCCTCTTTTTCACTGACCCTCTACTTTACCAAGCATGATGTCCTTCTC